TATGTATTTTCTTACGTACCATTAACCCTATGATATACATTCATACATCTGGTTTATGTTTAGTTAGCAAGGACTTATAAAGTACTTACTCTTCTCTAGGTGTTTTGTAAAGCTGAGTTGATCTCATATTATTTTAATCTCTACTTTGTGGTATACTTGCCCATATCCCTTTATCTCAGCTCCCAAGTGGCCCTAGACTCGATTACTTTTTTATTTGGTTAGCATTTGTTGAGGGTCCTGCGATACATTTTAGGTGACTATAGTTCTATGATGCTCTTTGTAATCTAGGTTTCTCTATCGAGTTCTTCAGGGATCCCTGTTTCCATCTCCAGTTCTGAGAGCTAAGCTCCTTGACAGATTGACTCCAGAGGAGAAGACCAAAGCTTTGAAGAAGTGGAGAGAGGCCGCAAAGACGCATCAGATGACATCCAAGAATTCTGACCAATCAGCGGGCGAGTCAGGAAGAAGATCTGTCTCTGTTCCTTCTACTGCCTTCCCAATGAAGCCAGCCACTTCTTGTACTGTTGAGCAAGGAGACATGTCTCTATGTGAAACTGCTTTAGACCTTGGCCACTCTGAAACTGAGGCTGGACCCTCAAAGTTTTAACACAGTAGAATAAGCTTTTTAGAGTTGCAAGCATTTTTTCCCCCTGGTTAATTAGAGGTAGTAGTCTCATGGATTTGTCCACCCTGGCTGGCTTTGAAACTTTGAATCCTCTAATCTCAGCCTCCTGAATAGTTAGGACTACAGGCATGAGCCACTGGTGTTGAGCTACAAGCATTTTTTTTTTCAAGTTTGGAAAATGGATTTTGAAGCACCTCCACAAGGTGAGGGTTACTTGTATTTTTCTATAGGAGATATGAACACAATTGTAGACATGGGAAAGCTAACACAATGGCTGTAAATGTGTATTTGTATAAACATCTGTAAAAGAGGGGTACGGTTAGGCCCGAGGAGTGATACATTTATGAAACCTTTTGCTCTTTGTAAAGGCATTTAAATTATGTTAGAAATGAAAGTATTGTTAAGGGGATTCATTTGAGATATATTAATTTTATAGGGAAGTCTCATTTCTTTGGAAAATGCTTTACGTGATCAGCTTCCAATCTAAATTTTCTTTAGGGGAAAAAAGTATTTTTAGATGGATTAGTTTAGGACTCAGATATTTCTATATGAAAGAAATGTTAAGAATGGTTAATTTACAAGTTAGAATTCTCAAATTCTCAGTCAAGAGAAGAGCCCTTGAGAATTCTCCTGTGCAGATGTAGGCCAAACAGGCAGAATCACTAAGCCTGAAGCCCATTTGGCAATTTCCTATATTCTAAAACCGACAATAGCCTCATCAAAACGAGACAATCCATTTCAACACAATCTTCCAGAGAATGTTTGAGGCTTCATAGTTTTTACAATGTCCCACAAGTTGTATCCTGTAAACAATGAAGTATGGATTGAGACTAATATGAATTGTACTCAGGGGTTTCCTTGCAGTTCTTGGAAAAACTTAATGCATTTGAAAAAGTGTCCATAGTATGTTTACTTCTGTTACAAATCATGTGTGCTGGCTTTACCTTGGACCAAGTTCATAGGTCATGGCAAATAAGGCCAGGTGCTATTATAAGGTCATATATTCATATATTCATCTTGAAGCTTTTTAAAAAAAATTCAGTGTCTATTCATCTGAAAGTTACCCACTCACCAATTATCTACAATTTCTATTATAGGTCTCTAAGCTAATGTTCAATATCTACATCAATGTCTTATTAGTGATTATTGAGCTATTATTCTCAGGGCTTAATCTTTTCCCTGCTGCCTACTGTCCTGATCCAACATTTTTTGTAGCCTTTTGTTACTATTGTAATTGTCTTTTATATACAGACTGATTTCTAGAACTTTCAAAATCCCAATGGCTAATGGAAGTTGCTTTCTGCTTCCTTAAGAGTTTTTTTTAAATAAACTATTTAATAAATAATGTATACTGAAAAATTGTCATCACTCCTGTAAACATGTTCTGAATCCAGATATAATTGGTTCTGGACTTTAGAAGGCAAGTCTCAAAGCACACATATGCGTCTTGCATGGGATAAATCACTGGAGTTCTGTCATTTATCAGTGATATTCAGTCCCTGAACTCTTCATTCAAGCTCTGATAAATGAAAACACTTAGAGCTATAATCACTTGGAAATAAAAGGTAAGAATCGAAGACCAACCTAAAAAATAAAAAAGAAAGGTCAAAAAAATAAAAGAAAGGTCAGTTTCTAAGATGTGAGTTATCCACACATACAAATAGGCAACCGTTAAATTTTTCAGGTAATGGGCCTGAAATATTGTAAAAAGCCCCAAAATCCTAAAAACTGAAAACAAAAAAGATTTTTTTCATGAATGAGGGATAAACTAATTTAACCTAATTTTCCTTAGACAAATATAAAACAATTTATATAATTATAGATATTATGATTTTTGTAATCATATATTTTGCTACAAAAAGATTAATGTATTTCACGATTGAATTCTAAACTGTATGTTTTTGTTGTTGTTTTGTTTTGTTTTGTTGCCAATCCTGGGGCTTGAACTCAGGGCCTGGACACTGTCCCTGAGCTTCTTTTATGGCTAGCACGCTACCACTTGAGCCATAGCACCACTTCCAGCTTTTTCTGTTTATGTGGTGCTGAGGACTTGAACTCAGGGCTTCATGCATGCAAGGCAAGCACTCTACCACCAAGCCACATTCCCAGCCCCAGGTTGTTTTTTTTTTTTTTTTGGTCGGTCGTAGGGCTTGAACTCTGGGCTTGTACTGTCCCTCAGCTCTTCAGCTCAAGGCGAGCGCTCTACCACTTGAGCCACAGTGCCGCTTCCTGTTTTCTAGTGGTTTATTGGAGATAAAGTCCAGGCTGTCTTTGAACTGCGATCCTCAGATCTCAGCCTCCTGAGTAGCTAGGATTACAGTCATGACCCACTGGTGCCTGGCCTTTTTTTTTTTTTTAATTAGAAAATTCAGAATTCTGAAACACATCTGGCCCTAGGTTGCAGAGATCTGGGATCTGTATTAAACTTAGAAAATAACTCTTTTTATACAACATTACCTAAGTTGATGTAATCTGTTCCATTTTAGTATTCAGCATATTTCACTAAATTTGGGGGGACCAAGCATTATATCACTGATCCTAGTACACAAGAAAACAGAGAGATAAATAATACACATTTTGGTATATATTTTATTACAAAGGATTTATGAAAGCATTGGATCAGCGTTCCCAAATGCACTGTGAATATTAAATAGCCTTGAGCGCTTACTAGGGCTAAGTTCTCTTTGGATATTCAGTGAGTGACCGAGACTTGTTAGCAACCTCTAACTTGAGAGTAATGAAGGAACCATTGGTTGTCTAAGAGGGCAGGTAGCTATGAGGGTGAAATAGAAGACAGGTAAAGTTTGAATGGGATGATTGGAAATGATACCAACATGCCATTCTAGAGGGATTAAAAGAAACATTCCCTACAACTTGCTATCCAGGTTCTGTAAGTCATCCAAAAAAAAAGGAGAGAGAGAGAAAGAGATACACCATTTTATTTGTGTGTAGAATTCTTTAAAATGAGTACAATATGTGATTTTTCACTGAATATAAGCTAAACAAGAGTAAAAGCTGTTACATTAATGATGTGCCTACAACTAAAACAAAACTGACATATGTTAAACTTTCACACAATTATGACCACAATTCACTTGCTGGATTTCACACTCTCTAGGGTTCATAACAAATTACAGAAGATGAACAACATGGAAAGTGCCAACACAACTTTTTGAATTTCCAATATGTTAATACATAGAAAAGGATACAAAAATACACATATAAAATTGCACATAGCCTCTTTTGGGAAAGCTGAGGCTGTTCAGGAGGTTGCTGGTGGGTTTTAGGAACAAATCCTACTTGTTCAAAAAAGGCATTTGAATGTTGCAGAATTGATGTCTGACTAATTAAATTAAATATAAGTAAATATTTGTGTTTTGAGACAGTGAAGGAAAAAAGTGATTTTAATAGTACTACCAATTTACTTCATAAATTGTTTTGCCTAAGGTGGCCTACTAGTTTAAAAATATTGTTAAAATTTTGTTTTCATTATCAATGAGAAGAAATGGTAACACCAGAAGTTGGACATCCTTGGAGAAACTCACAAAAATGTTTTGTTGTGCTTTGAAATGTATTTCTGTGGATTATTAGTATGGATAAAACAACTAAAATTTCATATTTAATTGGGGCACAATGCTGCAATTACAAAAAAAAAAGTCTCTCCACTCCTGATCTGGTTTGGTAAAGTAAATCCAGATCCTTTGGTAAAGTTTGATTGGCACTTCATTTTCACATAGCCAAAACAAAATATATCCAGGAGTGACCTAACTATTGAAATTTCCATTAGCCAACTAACATACACTGAAAAACTCACAGCAATAAGGACATTTCTAGGGAAATTTTTCTATAAAATGACAAATTTGACATCTAGAATGGACAGAACATAGTGCCACAAATTTGTCTTGATTTCTAGAAATTCTTGTATTCAGTCTGTCTTGAAATGTCAACCACCTACATATAAATGTTATTGGTTTTCTGCCTCTCTTTGCAGGTTTTTAGAAGTTTGTGGCCTTTTGAAGAATAATACTAAATAATTTAAGCTTGGAAAGTGTGTTGACTTTCAATAAATCAAAAGCCAGTTTCCAATAATAATATTGAAAGTTGCCCTTAAACTACTGTGCTTGAATCAAAACGAGATTTAATCACCTTGGATCTCGTGTGTGTGTGTGTGTGTGTGTGTGTGTGTGTGTGTGTGCATAAAAGGGAAACTTACCCTAAGGCCTCTATTATTATTTTAAATCTGCAGAGTTGATCATTCCATGCTTTAGTCAAGGTTAGCCTCACAAAAGAACAAACCCTACATTGCTTTGTTGGCATGTTGTTTTTTTTTAAGCCATTCATCAAACATGAAATTTCAGAAAAAATAGGACAAAGCTGAGTAAAATTGGTCTACAACAAACAAAGATTTTCAGTACAAGTTAAACATCCCTGTCCACGGAGAATACCTCTGTGCAGCTCTCTATAGGGGGCTCTTCAGATCAAAAGGCTCTTCGCTTTGAGCATTGCTGGCAATAGTCTCTGATCAGCTTTGGAATTACTTTTGAAGAAAAGTATGAATATATATTTGTCTTTCAATCCATTCAACAAAGTATGATACGTTGCTGTAGACTCCAGGCCCCAGGACTTTGGAAAAGCAGACGGAGCCCCATGAAGTTAAACCGAATAATGTCCACTGTCCTCCAGGCTGCTCACAAACGAGAGGCCCACCACTGTCGCCCTGTAATGAATTAGCAGGACTTGTTAGCTGTGGGATTTTTAGTGGTGTTCATAGCATCCTGAGGCTACCATAAAGACAAAACCAGCTTAAACAACTTCCTGGAAAATTCCCGCAAAGCTTTCCAATGTTAGCTTGGGAGAGAGTCTGCTTTCTACAATATAAATGGAGATTTCAGATAAGCGTTATACACTCTGGCCTTTGAAAAGAAGGAGGGGAGCCTGGGAGAGATTTTTGTTCTTTCCATGAAATCAGAAGACTTTTATACTCGGTTCCTGCGCTTAGCAAAATATGTTATATTTTTTAAACTTTATAAGTATTAGAACTGATTCTTATGAGACCTCATTGTTTCTTGGACTTAGAAGTATAGAAAGTGCCCAGAATGGAACATTAAAAGGTTCCCCCCCCCGCCCCGCCATTATCTATAATACAAACGTGTTCTAGAATACTTCTTTATTGTATTTTATTTTACTATAAAGATGCTGTATAGTACCTGTTTCTTTTCAAGATTCTTTCTGTGTGAATGAATTTATTAAGTAGGGCACCTTTTGGGATCCTCTAAGTGCACTTCGTTAGTAGTTCTTAAGGTTTTATCCGATGGCATATTTGAATAGAATAAAACACATAAGAAGTACAGTAAGCTATTTCATTTCTTTGGGGCCTACATTTAATTTCCTATGCATAGATATGCTATCTGTGATTATTAAGTTTAAGTATTCCAATTGAATTTTATTCCATTCTTCTGATTTAAAAAAAAACCCTGTGGGATTTATAGACATTACTATTTGCTGTGTCTAGAACAGCCAAAAATGTCTGCTCAGATAATAAGAAAGTACAATCAAATCTAAAGACAATGAAGAGGACATCAGAGGTCTATTTGGTTACTTCTAGGCAGACAAGGACAGAATTTCCTTCTTGAGATGTGTATTTGGGGCTAGATTTAGTGAATCAGTTGTATTTTCAGTGGGAAAGAGGAGGTTAAGAATGATCAAACTGAAATGTTGGAATGTTACTACAGCAACACTGGTCTGGCCTGTCTTCGTAGTCTTCTTTTCCTAAGATTGAGCTTTAGGCCAAAGTCTGTGTTTGGCTTTAGTATCGATCCACATGATTTATGTAGGCCTCCGCTGAGGGATCTATGGCCTCTAATGGGCCTTGTTGATGCAGCTTTAGAAAGAAAATTTATGGCCTCTAATGGAGGTTTTCGTGAACAAATTTGTTCCAGATCTAGGAAAAAGGAAGGCTTTGTTTTGTGCTATGTTTTGTGCTTTTTTTTTTAATCTGAGAAGTGATAGAAAGCATCTAAGAGACTCACGGCACTGATCTTCCACCAGTAAAACTGCTGGCAGAACTTAATTCCTATTCTACACCATGACATATACGTGCTCAACACCATGAAGTGTAAGTGTCTGGGCCTAGGTCTGTGCTTAGTCTCCCTTTTCGCTCTAGAGATGACCTTGAACATGTGTCATGAGGTAATAGTTCTTGGTTGGTCTCCATATCACATAAAGAGAAATGAGAAATACATTTGCATTAATCCTTACTCCCAGGAGAGCACAAAAGCCAAAGACCAGATGGCCTGGGTTCCCAGCCCTGCTTTACCACCGTGTGCTAGGTTATCTGACGCATGACTTAACTCTCTGTTTTCTTCACCTGGGGGAAAGATACAGTCATACAGGGTGACTGTGAAGGAGTCAATAAGTTTCTACAAAGTACTTAGAAGAGAACCTGGAATACACACACTAAACTGATGAAAGGAAATTAACTGATTAATCCAATAGTCACTCTTTATTTAAAGTCTACGTTTCAGACATCATGTCTAGATATATAACAAAAGGGGCTTTTACCTTCAATGATTCAGTTAGTTCCCTAAATACCCTCATTTTACACATGCAAAACTATCTCGAGAAGCCTATCACTTATTTTAGTGGAAATAGTTGTTATTAGCAGAGGTGGGTTCCAACCAAGATCTCTCAGGTTGCAAATCCTGTGTCCCAAACCCCTTATCACTCTCTCTTAAAATATTTATTCTTTGACTTGGGAAATGAAACCTGGGCTTCTAATACAGGAAGAAGGGACTCACCATTGCTGACCTCCGCTGACTGACTCCTTGGGCAGAAAAGAGGGAAGCTGTACGCCTGCCTCCCGTGACGGCTATCTAAGAGCCGTTCCTAGTCTTCAACCTTTCTATTCTCACACGAACCCTTGAAAATGCTATTTAAAGCCAGGTAACAGTGGCTCACACCTGTAATCCTAGATACTCAAGAGGCTGAGATCTGAGGATCATAGTTCAAAGCCAGCCCAGGCAGGAAAGTCTGTGAGACTCTTATCTCCAATTAACCACCAAAAAAACCAGAAGTGGTGCTGTGGCTTAAGTGGTAGCGTGCTAACCTTGAGCTGAGAGCTGAGGGACAGTGCCCAGGCCTGGAGTTCAAGCCCCACGACTGACAAAAAGAAAAGAAAAGAGAAAATGCTGTTTAATGATGTTGGGCTAGTGATAACAGCATTTCTGCTTCTCTTCTTCAGTACTGAAACCTAGGGAGCAATTCAGATCACTCCAGCAGCAAAATAATGACAGTGCTTCCCAGCAGTGTAGTGTAGCAATGGTGGTCTTCACTCAATTACACACTCTTTTGCATATTTGGACAATTTCTTCCTTTCCTGGGAGCTAGTCAGATATGATAGTAGTGAATGCTTAAGTAAAATGATTTCCTGTACCGCTACATTAACTTGCTCTGTATGCTGCTGTGGCCAGGACTCCTGAGTGTCTATGGCTGGAGTCAGTGACATTTGAGGACATGTTGGCAATCAAATGGCAGCCAAGAGAGCCCAAACAATGCCACTGTGGTCATTTCTGAGGCAGTGCCAGTTAAACACCATGGAAGCTGGGTATTCACGTATGCCCCAATGCTATCACACCAATGGCTGGCAATGCCCCCCTGTCCGGAGACAGCCTAGATGAAGCTGTGGTAACCACTTAGCTCCTTTTACAATTTTGATTGTCCTGTTTACCAAAATGGACAAATGAGATGGACTGAGGCAATTGTTCTCCTCCTGTTGCTGAGCAGGGGTCATGTTTACCAGTCAGCAGCTGGAAGCTAAGGGCAAACTCGGCAAAAGGGATGGGGGAAGTGAGTGGGAGGAGGGCACTTGACCAAGGAAACACAGTGTGAACCTCCTCAGTGTGAAGCAGTTGGTCGAAGATGTTTTCAGAAGTGTTCCCGAAGCATCACACGTGAATAATAATGAGTTGGAAGTGATTGCGGATCCCAGTCCCCTGGGGAATCAGAAAATCATTTACCATGCATGAGTCCACAGTGCCAGATTCATAGCCTGCGCATATCATCCGGTTGGTGATGGTCTTCATGTCAAAGTAAGTCTGGCACTGTTCCAGAGAAATAATGCGGACCTCTCCCTCTTGCAGCTTGAAAGGCACTGGGTTGAAAAAATAAACAGAAACAAAAATGCAAATATGGAAGATCAGAAAATGTTTCAATTACCAGCTGAACAATCTTTCATAGACATTTGAATATCAAGAGAACTATATTCTTTACTTAGAATGAAATTTTGAAGACAAAATTTGTTGGGAATCTGATTTTTTTAATTAGAAATATTCATAGAAATAGGCTGATAAAAATCTGTGTATTTTCTGAAAGAGGAAATAGAAGCAGAGACTGGTGACATGATGTGACTGTGGTTTCCCATTCTTGTCGTAGGCGATGGTATAAAAATGACAGCTGTGACAATGAAAGGGGAAATAAACAAGCCAGGCCGCTGCCCTGTGTACACATGGCTAGCTCAGTGTCAGCTCAGTAAATGAGTCCTGCTCTACAGAAGTAAAGAAGCAGATACACCTAAAAGGGGGAGGTTTTGTACTGCTCTTGGTGAGAAACACATCTCACTATGTGGGAGGAGGGTATCTTTGATGTGATTTGGGTTATTTTTTGAGGGGGGGGGAGTTGGTCATGGGGCTTGAACTCAGACCCTGGGCACTGTCTTTGAGTTCTTTTGCCCAAGGCTAGTGCTCTACCATTTTGAGACACAGAACTACTTCTGGTGTTGCTGGACTAATTAGAGACAAGAGTCTCACAGATTTTCCTACCTAAGCTGACGTTGAACCACAATCCTCAAATCTCAGCGTCCTGAGTAGCTAGGATTACAGGTATGAGCCACAGGTGCCCAGTGATACCATTCTTTTTGAGTATAGTGTATGAGAAATTTTAATCCTTGAGGATGACTGAAAAATGTCAAAAGAACAAGGCCATTCCTTGCTGTCAACAGAAAGTATGTAAACTCTTTTTTTTTGGCGGGGGGGTCTGGTCGTGGGGCCTGAACTCTGGGCCTGGGCGCTGTCCCTCAGCTCTTCAGCTCAAGGCTAGCACTCTACCACTTGAGCCACAGCGCCACTTCTGGCTTTTTTCTTTTTGCTTATGTGGTGCTGAGGAATCGAACCCAGGGCCTCAGGCATGCAAGGCAAGCGCTCTACCACTGAGCCAACTTCCCAGCCCAGTATGTAAACTCTTATCTTGCACAATACCAGCAAATGTTTTGAAACACAGCATCACAGATCTTCTGCTATTTGAGAGGTTCATATTTGGGCAATCCTACCTTTCTGAATGAATTCACTCTTGCTTTGCATGCTACCCCATAACTGTGCACTAGGTTACCTAATTGCCATGAGTTAGATATGGGTGCTGTGGGAAGCATTTAAGAAGAGGCCATGAAAAGTACTTTACTCTTAAGTTACAGTACTATTCATGGATTTCAAACACCAAAATGTCCACCCTAAGTCTAATCTGACATTCACATTTTTTACATGTGAGTTTGTCCGCAAATGGCATTGAGTTCTGTCCAATGACTTTTCTTCCCATAGTTTAATTGACAATAAAGAATACTTAGCTCAAATGCATCTGATTAAATGTCACGAAAAATTTAATTGATGTTCCTTTACCCTGGGGGTTCCTGAGATCAGTAACAGAATTCTAGGATGTCAACACACATTATCAGCCTTGAGACCCATACTATTATATGTGACGTAGTCAGAATAGCCAGAACTTACAGTTAAAAGAAAAATTATAGCCAGTGGCTCACCACCTGTAATTCGAGCTACTCAGGAGACTAAGATCTGAGGATCATGGTTCAAAGCCAGCCCATGCAGGAAAGTTCATGAGACTCCTATCTCCAAAATAAACTACTTAAAAAAAAAACTGGAAATGGTGCTGTGGTTCAAGTGGTAGAGTTTTCTCCTTGAGCAAAAGAAGCTTAAGGACAGCACCCAGTCCCAGAGTTCAGGCCCCAGGACTGGCAAAAGAAAGAGAAAGAACAAAAGAAAGAAAGAGAGAAAGAAAGAAAGAAAGAAAGAAAGAAAGAAAGAGAGGAAGAAAGAGAGAAAGAGAGAAAGAAAGAGAGAAAGAGAGAGAAAGAAACAGAGAAAGAAAGAAAGAGAAAGGAAGGAAGGAAAGAAGGGAGGAAAGAGGGAGAGAGAGAAAGAGAAAAGGAAGGAAGGAAGGGAGGGAGAGAGAGAGAAAGGAAGGAAGGAAGGAAGGCAGGCAGGCAGGAAAGAAAGAAAGAGGGGGAGGGAGGAGAGAGAGGAGGGAGGGAGGAAGGGAGAGAGAGAAAAAGAAAGTAAGAGAAAGAAAAAGAGAAGGAAAGAAAGAAAGAAAAAAGAAAGAAAGAAAAAGGAGGAAGGAAGCAAGGAAGGAAATAAGGAAAAGGAAATAAGGAAAAGAAGGAAAGAAAAAGAAAGAAATTCTTATTTTACATATTAATTAGGTTGAACAACACTGAGTTCAAGCTACAATATTGGAAGAGTATACACCCAAACCAATGTATTTAAGGAACAAGAATGGGATGGGAAGGTGGCTCATTGGTAGAGTGCTTGCCTCACATTCATGAGGCCCTGAGTTTGATTCTTCAGTACCACATAAACAGAAAAAGCCGGAAGTGGCGCTGTGGCTCGAGTGGTAGAGTGCTAGCCTTTAGTTGAAGAGCTGAGGGACAGCGCCCAGGCCCAGAGTTCAAGGCCCAAGACTGGCAAAAAAAAAAAAAAAAAAAGCAAACACGAAGTCATTTGGGGCCGGGAGAGGAAGCAGTACAACTTTTCAGTTTCTATATGTTTTCTATGTTTAAATTATCTACACAGCCAACATATCTAATTAACCTAGATAAGAAAATATTGAAGTAATTTTCTTTGAACTATTTGCAGGTTGTAAGGTAGAGACAAAACAAAATTGAAAGAGAATGAAAACGTTCCAGTGGAGCTTGACTGCAGAGGTAGCATAACCTAGCTGCTCGGTAAAGCCTGTAATACCCCTGCCTAACATAGCCCAAGTCACCATTAGGATGAGTTCAAATGGGAGCTGACTAACAGGTCAGCTCACATGCTAGCACCCAAACCTTGGTGGTGGCTCCCTGGAGAAAGAGTTTGTAATAGGGAAGAAGCATTTTGAACTACATTTTTTGTTGTTGTTGATGGTGGTCGTGGGACTTGAACTTTGGGCCTGGGCACTGTCTCTCAGCTCTTCAGCTCAAGGCAAGTGCTCTACCACTTGAACCACAGAACCACCTCTGGTTTTCTGGTGGTTAATTGGAGATAAGAGTCTCATGGACTTTCCTTGCCCAGGCTGGCTTTGGACCGTGATCCTCAGATCTCAGCCTCCTGAGTAGCTAGGATTACAGGCGTGAGGTACCCAGCTTGAACTGCATTTGAGATTAGCAGGTTAAATATTAGAATGGATTTATTCACGTCAACAATTGGCATGAAAGGAAAGAAAACGTGGACATCAAGTATTTCCCACGTGGGGCTCTATTTCTTGTAGTGAAAATGAACAACTGTGGCTCAAAAGAAATACAGTGTTTTTCTGTTCGAGGTTGAAAGGCAAAATGCTACCAATGTGTCTAGCTTACTTTTGTTGCCCATGTGACCCCAGCCGGTGATATAGCAGTATGTGTCTGGTTCTAGAGAGTCCTCAGGGCTGGGTAAGCAAACAGGCCGGACATAGCTTGTCTCATTGATGTCTTCACTCAATTCCACTATGCTGATGTCATAGTCCACAACTTCCCGGCTGTAGCGGGGATGCAGGATAATAGTATTCACAAAGCGGGTCTGCATGAACACAGATGGGTGGTCCAGGTTGTTGATACCAAGGACGACTCTCCAAACAGCAGCGTTCTCTCGCCTGAAGTAATGATTGAAGAGCAAATGACATGGTTAACTCTGATGATTGCATCAATTTTAGTCACACTTTTAAAAATATTTTATGGCCAGGCACTGGTGGCTCACGCTTGTAATCCTACCTACACAGGAGGCTGAGATCTGGGGATCACGGTTCAAAGCCAGCCCAGGAAGGAAAGTCTGTGAGACTCTTATCGCCAATAAACCACCAGAAAAGCAAAAGTGGAGCTGTGGTTCAAAGTGGTAGAGCACTAGCCTTGAGGGGAAATGCTCATGGACAGCACCCAGGCCCTGAGTTCAAGTCCCACAATTGACAAAAATTTTATGTTTCCACATCCATCATGCCTATTTCCTTTTCTACCTCCCACTGCATTGATATAAGTTTTTGCATAATATTCTGAATGATGAATATCTATGTATTATTGTGGAAAGCAAGTTACCCTTCACACATAACTTGCTCAGTTTTAATGCAAGGAAGAAGAAAAACTTGTTTTAATCAACAAGAAATATAATGAAAGTTCATAAAGAAGACAGAGAGAGAGAGTCCAAGAGGAAAAGTAGGAGGGAAAGTGGGAAGAAGAAAAGAGCCTTCTAAAAAGAGAGTAACTCACAAAAAATTCTGGGCATGTTTCTACACATTTTTAGGCAATGGTCAATCTCAGACTCCATCTTTCAATACTTATCAGCAACACTGCTCTGGAATTCCATTCTCAATGTTCTCTTTGAAGACTTCACCTAGCTCAGTGATTTTAAGTAGCACCGTCCCTATAACATCAGCTCTATCCTGTGCTCTGAGCTACAGGCTTGAATGTCCATGTAGCTATTCAACACACTCACTTAGATATTTGATAACAGCCACGATTTGGGGGAACTGATGCTGAAGCATCAGATTTACAGTACTTTAATGTTTATAGCACTCGGGACCAATTAAATTTTTTTCCTTTACCCAAATATTGAGTCAGGAAGTCTTCCTCGCTTCTACTTTCAACTTTATCCTGAATTTTGTTAATTCTGCCTCTTCTTGCTTCATCTGAGCTACTGTCACATATTTGGTTCACTGTAGTGACCTCTCAAACGGTGGCCCTTCTTCTTAGTTTTAGCCCCTATAACTCATTTTCCTCACAGTAGTGACAGTAATTTTTTTAAAAAAATAAACTCCAAGATCATTTTCTGCTCATAAGTCTCCAAAGACTTTACATCACAACTGAGATACGTTCTAGACTTTGATCCTTGGCCCTAGGTAATCTGCCGCATTTGAACATCAAAGACTTCCTTTCTGTTTTGGGGCCTTTCAAGGGTACCCCATCTCAGGGACCCCTTCTTGCCGTTCCCTCAGCTCTTCCCTAGTTCTCTCATACTCTTTTCTATCAACCAGATTTCAACCCAAATGTTCCCTGCATATCACTGTTCTCCCCGCCTAACCCGTACACCATCCTAGTCACTCTCTCCACTATTGTATTTGCTTTAATTTTCTTCTCATGGTATTTCTTGATAACAATGATTCTGGCACATTTATTTCCCTATTTTCTGCTCCCCAGTTTCTAAGGAAAAATGGTTTCAGAGCTATCAAAAGAAAAATTGGTGTCATTAATTAAATATAGGTAGATACATATTAATTCCTCCATGTCAGGCATTGTGTAATCTCTAGATTACAATAGTAAGCAAGAAAGCCATAGAACTTTGGAGAACTAGGTAGAACTGAATGAAGATGGTCAATTAAGGAAACAGTTATATAAATTTCAGAACATACTGTCTTATGAGAATTAGAAGACAATGTTTTTGTTTTTGGGTCTGGTCATGGGCCTGAACTCTGGGCCTGGGCGCTGTCCCTCAGCATTTCAGCTCAAGGCTAGCGCTCTACCACTTGAGCCATAGAACCACTTCTGGCTTTTTGTTTTTCCCCTGCTTATGTGGTGCTGAGGAATCGAACCCAGGGCCTCAAGCATGCAAGGCAAGCGCTCTACCACTGAGCCACCTTCCCAGCCCCTAGAAGATAATGTTATAAAATTATTTTTTAACTACACAGTGCTGTCACTCAAAAAACCAACCTATCTCCCTTCCTTCTTTCATTCTTTCCTCCTTTCCTTCCCCCTTCCCTCCCTTTCTTCCTTCCTTTCCTTTCTTTCCTTCTTTTTGTCAGTTCACAGGAATACATATACAACCTTTCAAGAAATTCCATATTCACTTCAAATGCTGTTATTAGAGACACCATACATCAAGCAATAATTTATTTTTAATGAATTTATATGCCCATTTAATAGATTTTTACCCATGAACAAGAACTTCTAAAGTTTATAACAAAAACTCAACCCTCTAAATTATAAGCAATATTTCAAGTGGTTGAACCTTCTAAACTGCTTGTAGCAAAATGAAATAGCACCAACTTGGACTCAATTACTATATTAGAGGAATTAAATTCTAATGGTAAAAATCTCAGTCAAACTGCTCATTTGTGCGTGTGCGTGTGCATGTGTGTGTGTGTGTGTGTGTGTGTGCGCACGCATGCTGGTCTTGGGTTTGAACTTGGCCTGAACAAAGTCCTTGAGCTTTTTATCTTAAGGCTAGTGCTCTACTACTTGAGCTACAGCTCCACTTCTGGCTTTTTGGTGGTTAAATGGAGATAAAAGTCTCAGGAACTTTGATTCAAAGTTTGGGTTGGCTTCAAATTGTGATACTTAGATTTTAGCCACCTGAGTAGGTAGGCATGAGCCACTGACACCAAGCAGTATTCTTTTTGTTATTAGTATAATTTAAAAATAATATCTCTCTTAGTGTTTCATATAATTTATAGATACATAGATATATTTATAGGTAGGATAGAATTAGTGTAATTTCTATTTACAATTTTTCAAGTACTCACTAAAGAGAAAACCTAGCTACTTACATATCTCATGTATACTATGGCATGCTGAGGAATGTCTTCAGACATCACATTTCTGGAGCAATATCCTTTCACCTTGGTTTGCCATTTGACTTACTCTAACTTGACTATGAAAATGTCACTTTTCTCACTTCAGCTTAGCCACATTTATTCCCTTATTTGTTTACTGATTGTGGTGATGGGGATGGAACTCAGGACTTTGCACATGATAGACAAGTACTCTACCATTGAGCTATGAGCTATGTCACCAACACTACACAAAAATTTGTAGATTTTTTTCTCTATTTATCTTTTCCTCTGAGCACAAATTTTTCCTTTTGCACCCATTCTGATTCTGCTTTTAATATTTCAAATTTAATATTTTTCTTTTATTTTTGACATTTTTTGTAAGGTTTTATTTTTGTGTAACAGAGCTGAAATAGAAATAAATAGGAAAAAAGGAGAAAAACATCTCCTGGTCCTCATGAGAGTCCAATTTAACAATGGAAAACTAATCTGCATGATAATACTTGTGGTAGAAGTTATACTCTATTTTTATAAGACTTATTTGAAGTTAGTGATGGTGGTGGTGACAAGTGAGATATAGGTTAGAATGAAGCTCTGAATTTGAATGTCTGAAATTATATATAGTTATCCAATCCTTGATATTTAGTTTTTTCAGTTGTACAAAAGAGTTGCCATTTATTTATTTATTCATTTATTTGTTTATTATTATTGTAAAGGGATTTACAGAGGAGTTAGTTACATATGTAAGATAATAAGTGCATTTCTTTTTGAACAGACTCGCTTCTTCCCTCATTTTCTCCCTGTTTTCCGCTCCTGACCTTCCTCTCCCACAAATTGTATAGTTCATGTTCATTACAGTGTCTATTGAGTGTCACTGCTGCACTTGTTCACTCTTTGTCCCACCATTTCTGTGCTGCCCATACCCTCCCCCAAACAGACTTACATGTAAGACAAAAGGGACAGACAGCAAAAAGCTTGGTATTTGTAATTTCTGATATATGAGCAATTCTATCAATGAGTGAAGACGGATAAGAAAGCTATCCTTCTTATCTGTCTAAAGCATTTAGATGCATACAAAGGAGAAGATGGGAAAAGAGAGCTAAAATGGCAGGTTACTGAAATGAGGAAAGCAACCAGATCTTTTAATTTTGTAGACGAAAAATAGAGAAAGTTGTTTCAATGTCATTATCAAACACCAAAGAGGGTTTCAGTGAGTTCTGAGGATCACCGCTCAAAACCTGTCTGGGGGTGAAAAATCTATGAGACTGTTTTCTCTAATTAGCCAGCATAAAAAGCCAGAAATGGAGGTGTGACTCAGTGTAAAGCACCAGCTTGAGCAAAAAAGCCAAGCAAGACCATGAGGCCATGAATTCAACCGTACTGTTTAAAAAAGAAGAAGGAAGGAAAACTAGGGGTGAGGAAGGGAGGGAGGGGGGAGGAGAGGGGAAGGGAGGTGAAGGAAGAGGAGAGCTTAAAGTCCTGGTAGGGAATGAGTGTAGACAAATAATCCCAAATCTTGTGGACTGAAGCACTGTTGTGGTAGAAATCCACATGAGGGTAAGATGTCAGGGTTAAGCATTATGGTCACACAGTGGGATGACAGTTTTTCATGTAGGTTTCCTACATGAAACCTTCTTGCAATACTAGTTCAATGCCGCTTACAATAAAAAGTTCCTCTTTCAATCTTTCAGAGGTAGAAGAAGGCAAGCAAATTGCTTGTTAAATGACCTCTGAAAATCAAAGTCTTTCTTCCTTAGCACCTTTGAGGTTGACTTCATGTTGGAGCATATGGGACTTGATCTGATCAACTGAGCATCTTTGCTTTCAATTTTCAATTTGTATTTTCAAATACTTCTCTGTGGAAGAGCAAAACAAATTGTCCTTTTTGTCCACCAATATAATTAAAAGAGACAGGCTTAGCAGATCTCCAGGTGGGTCATGCTGGGTCTTGCCAAAGTATGGGATGAGGAAGCAAAGTCAGTTCCATTAATTACAGCAATTAATGGTCCCACTAGGGCCTGTTAATGAGCTTCACAATGACAAGTTCTGAAAAGCTTGCAGCACCACTATAAAACAGAATTAGGCTCATTAGCACATATTTGAGCAAAGGCTTGTTGGAAGTTGGGCAGTTTCTAACTGGATGGACAATCTGGCCCTTATTGACAGTTCTGTTAATTTTACTGTTCCATGAAATTCCTTCAAGACCTTTGATATCATATCCACTTACTTAATGGTAAACACACATTTCTTCCTTGTGTCAAGTTTTTCTTCACTTCAGAGATCCTTCCATGAAAGAGGGAACTTGAACCCCACATATGGAAATGACAGAAGTGGCATAGGCACTTGGCTTAACTAGCACATAGGTTGTTGTTCCCTTAAAGAACAGTTGGGTTCATTTAGGTAAGCATCCCTTGATAGACACATTTTTGCTGGTACAATTTTCTATTTATCATGCAGTTACAAGTCAAAACTGGAAAAGACATCTAGAAACATCTGGTCCCTTCCAAAGCAATAACATTGCACTGTGTCTCTTGACATATTGCACAGACTCTTCCAGTCCTTCTGGATCTCACCCATGAACAGTTCTCAAGAGGAAGTACTAGTTTGATTTTTACAAATTATTTTCCCCAAAGAGCAAATATATAAATCTCCATTATAGAATCACCTAGGACATTGTCTTCTGGTTACTCACTTAACTATCTCCGTGCATTAAGTTAGTACCTGAAGGAATAAAGCAAGTATCGATCTCTCTAATTCCCACATGGAACAAAAGTCTGTGTTTTGGTTCTTTATCTTCTAGAACAAAAGTAGTGGAAAATGAGTAGCTTTGTGTAGGAGGTTTATTAGAGCCGGGCTCTGTTGGCTTATGCCCATAATCCTAGCTATTCAAGAGGGTGAGAATTGAGGATCATGGTTGAAAGCCAGTCCAAGCAGGAAAATTCCAAGAGAATCTTATCTCCAATTAACTACCAAAAGAGCCAGAAGTAGCACTGTGGCTCAAGTGGTAGAATGCTAGCCTTGAGCAAAAGAAACTCAAGGATAGTGCCCAGGACCTGAGCTCAAACCCCAGGACTGATGAGAGGAAGAAAGAAAGGAAGGAAGAAAGGAAGGAAGGAAGGAAGGAAGGAAGGAAGGAAGGAAGGAAGGAAGGAAGGAAGGAAGGAAGGAAGATCAGGCTCAAGTAAAGAAAAAAACAAAAAAGAAAAGGTACAACTTACCCCTCAAAGCAGTGGGCAACTGTCAGCACCCACTTCTTGGCAATGAGGACACAGCCACAGATGTGCCCGCTGGGTTCACTCTGCAGAGAGCACTGCCATGGCCATCTTCCTGGGCGACTCGTCCGACCTCCAAGGATGCGCTTGTTCATCCGGGCAGCAGGGCGGCGCCCACAGTCTACCAGAGTGGAAGACGCGGCTTGTGATTAGCACCCAGCCCAGCTGAAAGCTGAACTCTTTGTTATGACACACTGTGATCATGCCCTCCCCCGCCCCCAGAGACAATCTAGTTAAATCAAGTTCACATCTTGTTGCTAGACCACCAATCCTCTCACCTTGTTTAGTACACAGAAGAGAAATCTTACTTCTGTTCAGACAAGGCTGCCTGGATTTGGAAACATAAAATGGTATAATTCAGTTACATGGTTACTGTTCATTTCAAACATTGTACCAGGGAAAGGAAAGACATAAGATAGATATAGATATACACATATGTGCATATCCATATATATTATATATGCAAACGTACATAAGGGAGGCCATGTTCTGAGCAGCAATTACTCTTATTCTTAGGAATTCTCGAGACAGAGGATTGGTCAGATATCACCTGGGGGACATACTTTATATATTTTAGTTTATTTACCATCATCATAATATAATTTCAAGTTTTTAGGAGGATGATTTAATGCAGCAAAGTTTTCCCACAGCTGGGTAGGTGACTCAATGAAACTCTCAGTAGAGAAGAGGCAGGGGAATTGGGGCTGCTTCTTAGAATCTATGGAAAAGAAGGAGCAGGTAAGATGTTTTATGTTGATGGAAAAAGATATGCTACCCTACAGAAGTTGAGAAATTGAGAGGATCAAAAGTCTGAGAAGAATGAAATATTAAACTAGAGCCTGGCATGGAAGCTCACACAGTGTGATCCTAACTACTCTGGAGGCTGAGATCTGAATATCACAGTTCAAAGCCAGCCTGGGCAGGAATACTTGTGAGACTCTTATCTCCAATGAAACATCAAAAAGCCATAAGTGGAGCTGTGACTCGAATAGTAAAATGCTAGCTTTGAGCAGAAAGAGTTCAGGGACAGTGTTCAGGCTCTGAGTTCAGCCCTAAACTGGGACACACACACACACACACACACACACACACACACACACACTCTGTAGGTCTTGTAAAAGTACAGCAATGTCCTCAGATATATTTCTAAATTTCTTTTAGCTGATTAACTGCTTTCATTTTTTTTGCTAAATATGCATGAGGGCGAGTAATTGGTAGTATCTAAGAAATTATACAGTACAGGATTCCCCATCTGCTTTAAACTTTCTGACAGCTACAATCCTTTCCTTACTCTCTACACACATTTGTGTACCACCTTGTAATCTCTTGATTCAGTCAAAAGATATACATTCCTTGAGATCAATTTTCCTCCCTTTCATTTACTTTAAATCCCTTCAGAACCCAGCATGAATATGGTAAAGAAAAGATAGCCAGTAATTCATTATTTGTTAGATTGAAAAAAACGTATTCTTAAGAAGATAAAAATGATCAAAAGGGGTGGATCTGATGCAACAATGA